GCAAAATGCGGTCCATACATACAACGGAATATTATTCAGCCTTAAAAGTGAAGGAAATTCTACAATACTACAGCATGGAAGAACCCTGAGGACATCATGCTGAGTGAAATAAGCATGTCACAGAAAGACAGATAATATGTGATGCCACTTCTATGAGGTTTTCAGAGTCATCTAGTTCAGAGAGACAGAAGGCAGAACGTTGGGGAAAAGGAGCTGGGCAGAGGGTGCCAAGTCAGTGTTTAATAGGTGCAGATGTTCACGTCTGCAAGATGAAGAGTTCTGAAGATGGAGGTGGCAACGGTCGCACAACAATGTGAACGTTCTTAATAGTCCCCAACTGTACACTTAAAAATGGTGAAGATGGCAAACTGTGTATGTGCATTTTAGCACAAGAAAGAATGCAGGACGGGAGCTGTGTACACCGCATTACTGAATTATAGGCAATGAGACAAGTCTGAAGGGACCCAAAGCACATCTTCTCAATGAAAATGTATCCGTAACAAAAAACATGCATACCACGTAGGCTCATTTGTTCACCAAGGAAAGGAAATTATTTCCAACTGCTGTAGATAAACTAATTCCAGGCCGGGCGCGGTGGCTCAGGCCTGTAATCCCAGCATTTTGGGAGGCCGAGACGGGGGGATCACGAGGTCAGGAGATCGAGACCATCCTGGTTAACATGGTGAAACCCCGTCTCTACTAAAAAATACAAAAAACTAGCCGGGCGAGGTGGCGAGCACCTGTAGTCCCAGCTACTCGGGAGGCTGAGGCAGGAGAATGGTGTAAACCCGGGAGGTAGAGCTTGCAGTGAGCTGAGATCCGGCCACTGCACTCCAGCCTGGGCGACAGAGCAAGAATCCGTCTCAAAAAAAAAAAACAAAAAAAAACACCTAATTCCAGTAATGCACCTTTTGGTCATTAGGCATTAGTTTAAAAGACCAGAAGGAAGTGTAGCCAGCCAATACGAAGTAAGAGGAAATGAACTAGAAAGGTGCCAGCTGAGCATCACCAAGGAGACTCCGTCGAGGGACTCTGTTCCAGTTCCAGGCGGTCCACAGTCACCAAGAAGAGCTGCTTTCTGAGTTGGCAGCACTGTGGCATTTGTGTTGGGCATGCACAAAGAGATGCAGACCACAGCCAAACATGTCACCCTGCGGATCACGCCCTGGTAGAAGGGCACACACAAAGCAACGGGACAAGATGCTCAGCAATGCTGCAGCCACAAGCATAAGAGGAGGGCGGAGAGGACGGGGTGGACAGGACACAGGTTACCAAGGTGTGCTGTGGGCAGCTAGGGAGAACCGTGCCAATTCACACGTGGCCTCGGGAGCTGAGGAGCATCAGATGATGCAGCACAGCCAGTGTGGAGGGCGAGCTGGGGCCCGTGACGGTTGCGGACGGGGAAGTGTCATGCAGACATCAGGGCAGAGACGTTGGGTAGAGGAACAGGAAGAACTTGCCAAGAGGCCAGATAGGAACAAAGAAAGGGAAAGAATCAGACCTTGCCAAGGCTTCTGAGGTTGGGGACTTGAAGGATGCTGCTGACTTTGACACAGAGTGGGGACCAAGGCGAGGGACGAGGCTGTGGAAGCAGCTCCCGTCACAGCAAGTGGGAAGAGACTGTGAACACAAATGCTGGGAGCCACCACCCAGGGCCAGCTGGCACCTTTCAGGGACAGGTTACTGGGCCCTTGGCATCCTTCTGAGGCGTTCAGGGAGAAGACTGAAAGGGTCACGCCCCCACGGCACTGAGCCCCAGCTCTGCCCTGGCCTGGGCACACATGCTTCTCCTGCCGCCTGGGAGCTGCTGCTCGCCTCATCCCTTCTGCTCTGGAATCTGCTTGCTCTGTCCCTTGTGCAGGGCGGCTTCTCCCACAGCTCCTTTTAAGCATGGGCCGCGGCACCTTCACTCTTCTGCACTCACAGAGTCTAACAGCCACATCGCAGGCAAGGCAACGACACTCAGCCAGGGACTCCCTCTACACTGCGTTTGCTGGGCCTCTGTCCTGACACTGAACTACAAGCCTTCTTCTAGCCTTTACGTGCTCAGCTCATCACTTCCATCCACGTTCAAAAAAAGACGCTGAGCAGACAAGAGTCACACTTACCGTCTACAGATCTACAGTGCGGGCTGCAAAGCACACTGCACACAGAGCACTCAGTGAGTCATGCAGAGACAGGTGTGAGCATGGCAAGTGCCTCGAGCATCTGCCTGGTACCTGAGAAGATGTTCTTGAGGTTCTCCACGGCTGCAGCGAGCTGGCTGTGCTGCACCACGGCATCTTTGACATCCTTGAGGCTCTCGATGGTGTTGATGCTCTGCCTCCAGTCCTTGCTGACGTCCGCCAGTGACTGCTGGATGTCTTTGACGTCATTCAGGGCGTTGTGGAGCTGGCTGAGACCTGTGCGCACCCCGTCCAGCTGTGACTGGATGGCAGCCTGAGGAGAGACGCCACACGGGTGAGAAGAGCCAGTGACAGCCATGTGCTGCCTCCTGAAGAACAAATCTTCCCCGGGAGGGTCAAGTTCAGGAAAGAGCCACTGAGTAGCAGGAAATAGTCAATACCCAGAAAAGAGAATAAAATTAACAAGGATTTAATTGATTCACAATGTAACTTTTTGTTTCATTGTTGCCTGGGAAAGAAAAATGATGCATTTTAAAGCTTTGATGAGAAAACGTCAGGACACTCCTCATCTAGCCTCACACCTGGTGATACCGGACACCACCACGGGTCTGCCCTGGGCCGTGGCCTGCTATGGTACCTTCAGAAGGATGTCACCCATGTTCTCCCCAGGCACCCTAGTTGCCTAAGAGGTCTCATCTAGGCAGAGAGAACGGTCAGGACTTCACTGGCTTGGGGCGGGGAGTTCCTGCTGTTCAGCCAGGACCATATTTGGCCTCAGGACAGCTGACCCACAGGAAAGAATCGGCACCCGAGCTTCAGATCCACTCTGTGTTAAAGGTGAGTTAAAACAATCTGAACAAAATGCCCTCCAGTGATGCTCTGTAGAAGAGCTTCAAATAAGACTAATTCTCATTCCTCTGGTGTTGTTTAAAAACTTAATAGTCTTGCAGTGAGCTGCGATCCGGCCACTGCACTCCAGCCTGGGCGACAGAGCGAGACTCCGTCTCAAAAAAAAAAAAAAAAAAAATTTTTTTTTGAGACGGAGTCCTCCTCTGCCCGTGCCCAGGCTGGAAGTG